TAGTTGTGATGTACTACATCAACTTGTATAGATTTTCTTGAGTTCCTTGAAATTATGTTCTTGATTTCATTGTTGCTTTCTAGTGTTTTGGTCATTTGATGATGTTTACTTAACAATTGTATAAATTAGCTATTCATCAATTAAAGTATTACAGTACTCTAGAGGCTTTATTCTCTTAAACTTTATTTCAAATGTGATGAGATTTATCATTCTCTTTGCTCCTTTTATTTGCAGAGCAACCTTATGACAGCATCCCTAATTTTAGTGCTGCTGATGCCTTGCGACTCACGGGGATAGGAAGAAATGAATTTATCGACATAATGAACAAGTGTAGATCTAAGGTATTGTTGAAGAGCACTTCACAATATAATTAGTTTCAATAACTGTTGGAGGTCAAATGGTGGTGAACCTAAAACCTTTTGAGTTTGACTGAATGGCCACTTTCATAAGTATATGTGCAGTCCAATTTAAAGTCATGTATTATAGAGAGAGATGGACCAAATTACTTTTTCTTACCTGTCTAACTAAATTTTACCAATATTTTGAGTCTTCCAGAAAATTATGTGGAAGCTGAATAAGTCAATAGCAAGAGAACTCTTACCTACTGAACCTGTGGACTTTGCGATTGAGCCGTGGTGGGAAGTTTATCTTGTCAACTTCACTTTAGAAGAATTTAAGGTGATGAACTTTCCGAATAACTTCTCTCCAACCTTGAGTAGATCATTTTATCTCTATCTACGATTTGGATTGTGTTTGAATTCATCAATTATTATGTTTGAGGGTCATTTCGCCATAAGTTCTTTATGCAAAGACATTTGGGGTAGAGCCCAACTTTTGTTCTGAATGACTGAGATAAACTGTACTCTTCTGTTCCCCTCCCTGTTCCAAGAAACTATCAGAAGAAGAAATGGCGACCATTGATAAAATTTGCAAGGAGGAAGCAAATTCATTCATCCTTTTTGATCCTGAAATTGTCAAGGGACTTTTCCGGCGGGGACTCGTCTACTTTAATGTTCCAGTCTATCCTGATGATCATTTTAAAGGTAATTTATAGGTACTTGTATCGGTCCCATTAAGATAATCTGTGGGTTATTCCCTTGGTTTCCTTCCCCCACCCCCAACAAAAGGGGGAAAAAAAAGGAAAAGGAAAAATTATTTTTTTTTATTTTCGTTAAAATCAATTTGAGTTTCACTTGATAACAGCAGGTATCCTGAATAATATGTTAAAACTTTTTATTGCTTTCAATATTTTGATTGACAGTGTCATGTTTAACTTTCCACCTTTTTCCAATTTATTAATCATTCTGTGGTTTGAAAACAGACATTTGTGATTATCGGACCTTTCTTTAGCATCGAATCTTATAGACCAATCAGTTGAACCACTTGATTTAAAAGATTGATCTATTAGAGTGCTACATGTATACATTTAAATCTTCAACACACTTCCTCGTGTGTAGACGGGGTTCATTTTTTTTCCATCAAAGTCGAACACTAGCAAAATTTCATTAAGTGGGTAGCGGCAAGATTTGAGGAATGTTTACAATATACGGCCTACTCAATCCCATGTTTTGGCCGTGTACAGAAAAGAATATGTTTATACATATATCCAAGACTTCCCATTTTTAGTTAATCTACCGTGAAATAAGTTCAACTCAAAAGTGCCTGATGTAAGATCCTTTATGAGAGCAATTTAAAGTGTTTTCATGTATCCGTCTTTAAAACATTCACGGTTTGTTTGGCACAGCTTTTCTTAAAATTATATTTTCGCAAACTCATTTTCAACTACAAATTCTCTCATTAAATAATTTTGCACGTAAACTCCTACTTTTCCCTACTTTATAATCTCACTTTCTTCAAAAAAATCATTTTTCACTTCAAATAATATCTCCTAAACAACACTCAATCAATTGGATATAACAAGATAAGATTAACCTGGAAACACCTTTTTTTTTCAACAAGTTATTATGTTAAGATATTGGACTTGATTAGTTTAAACCATCAATCCAGTTATTGTCAACCACCTATTTGACTTCAGTCCACATGTCTTTGTGATTAGAATTTTTATATACACATTATTTCAGTTTCCAGGCTGGAAGGATTTGTTTCGAACAGGGAGCAGCTATATGAAGATCCCATTGAGGAGTAAGGCACATATATTACCCTATCTGCATTTTCAATTTCATCTATGCATAAGCAAAGTTGAATTGTAATGTTATCAATCTCATTATCCAGGTTGCTTTATGCTGTATTTGTAGTATCAAGTGAGAATTCCACTGTTGCTGAACTGGCAACAACATTGCAGACTGATCTCTCTCAGCTGCAGGCTGCTGCATCCTTTGCTTGTCGGTTGGGATGGGCAGTAAAAATAATAGACCCTGCATCTATTCTTCAAGAGTCGATTTTACCTGGCAGTCCTAAAAGTCTTCTCAGTGAGGAAGATGAAGGCTCCTTTGCTAGTATGGGCTCAACCAATCCGTCCACTGCTGTTGACACTGCTCAACAAGGAGACATTTTGTGGACAGAAAACTATAGTCCACCTGTTGATTATGCTCGTGTTGCTTTGGTTGTTGATGCTAATATAACATCTTATCTTATGATGGGATCTGTTTCACCAGGTAAATCCCTTTTTTTTTCTCCTTTTTTGGGTGTTTTCTGTTTTTTATGTTCTCTTCTTTCTTGAAAGTGTCTAGTCTTACATGGATACACTCTTCATCTCAGTTTTATGTGTAAACGGTGTAAAATTTGCGATGGCCGACCTCTCATGATTTAGTTTAGGGTACCAATCAAGGGACTTTAATAAATAAGAAATACCCAAGGCTATTCTACTATTATTAGACAAATTAGATGGGCAGTAATTCTTACAACTTTGTTTTTGTGGGATCAATTGAGAAAATTTGAAGCCCTTACATGATACCGGTTTCTGCTCAAGGCTTGGCACTAAGCAAGAGTATTAACTTGTTAATGAGTGCATATTATCTCTTCTGCTAAAATCCGTATCTTCAGTATCATGCTATGGCCTAAGATGCAGAAATGGTCGTAATTTTAAAAACGTGCATGGAAATTCACTTTAGCTCATGCTTCCTGATATGTTTTCTGGGATGTAATTGGTTTAAGGAGTTCAGGGAGGAATCAAAACAAAATTAATTTAATTGATGTGCTCAAGAAGGTGCATCTGGAAGTATGAAGCATAAAATGATGAAAAATGATTATTTGTACTCCTAGAATGTAAATATTGAATATAACGAAAAGAGCAAGAAAATAATATTTGGAGGGTTTTTTTTTGCCCTTTTCATTTGTTTCTTCGCTGAAGTGTTTTATTTATTTATTATTTCTTTGTGGGTTGTGGTGGGGTTGAAGTTTCTCTGCAATTGTGCACTTTATGTACATGTGATCAGCTTTATCTGTTGTCGGTGCCAGTTTCTCTGATGTTCTCGGAATTGATATACCAGTTTAATTTTTGTCTTGCTTTAGTAGGGACAAGGATGTTCTATCTTGTATCTGCTCAAGTTCTAGTTGTAATTATTTTCAATATAGCTCTTATTCCGTCACCCACCTATATGATTGTCACATTATTCTGTTGCTGAGTTCACTTATTTTATTTTTCAACATCTCTTGCAGGTCTTAAATCTCATGCTGTCACATTGTACGAAGCAGGAAAACTCGGTAATGCTAGCATTGCAGATCTTTGTAAGGATCTAAGTACACTAGAGGGAACCAGATTTGAAGGAGAATTGCAAGAATTTGCCAATCATGCATTCAGTCTCCGATGTGTCCTGGAATGTCTAACATCAGGTGGTGTTGTTACTGATGAGGAGGCAACTTTGTTATCTGATGTTTCTATGGTCAATAGATATGGAGGAACAGGTACAAAAGAATCTATGTCAAATATTGAGGATTCTGTGGATTCAAGAATGACCCAGGAAGATTATGATTCTGCTGAACTGTTAACTGGAAGTACTCGTGATGAAAAGTTATCTGCTACCGTATCTGAGGAGATTAACTATGCTGGGGATTCCATATCAAATCTTTGTGTATCAAATGATGAAAAGTCATATTCTGTCGAGGGTTTAGATGCTGGAAAAGAGATGGCAAAGAAAAAGAGAAAATACCGGGTGGATATTCTTCGCTGTGAAAGCTTGGCTGCTCTTCCTCCAGCAACTTTAGATCGTCTATTTCTCCGTGACTATGACATTATCACGTCCATGGTTCCACTTCCTCATTATTCTGTTTTGCCTGGACCCAAAGGTCCCATTCATTTTGGTCCTCCTTCACATTCTTCTATGACTCCCTGGATGAAATTGGTGCTGTATTCTGCTGTAGGCTGTGGACCTCTTTCTGTTGTTTTAATGAAAGGTCAATGTTTGAGAATGCTTCCTGCACCACTAGCTGGTTGCGAGAAAGCCCTTGTGTGTTCTTGGGATGGATCTACGGTTGGAGGTTTGGGAGGGAAATTTGAAGGGAATTTAGTTAAAGGAAGCATACTCTTACATTGTTTAAATTCACTTCTCAAATATTCTGCTGTACTGGTGCAACCTTTTAGCAGGTATGACCTCGATGATAGTGGAAAACTTGTTACTTTAGATGTTCCATTACCTTTGAAGAACTCTGATGGTTCAATAGCAAACATAGGAGAGGACCTGGGGTTATGTGGAGGGGGAACCTCAAAGTTGGATTCACTTTTAAGTAATATTTCAAACAGAATAAATTTGTGGAGCATCGGATATATTAGCTTATTGAGACTTTTTAAAGAACAAGAATCAGAAAACTTTTCTGTTGATGGTGAGAAGTATGAGTGGGTTCCGTTAAGTGTACAATTTGGCATTCCTCTTTTTAGTCCCAAATTATGTAAAGATATATGTGGAAGAGTGGTTTCTTCTCAGTTACTTCAAACAGAATTACTGACTGAGCATCATGATGCAATGCAAGACTTGAGGAAAAGGTTGCATGATGTTTGTGCTGAGTACCAAGCAACTGGTCCGACTGCAAGACTTCTTTACCAGAAAGAACAGCCAAAGGATTCATCTCAACAATTGATGACTTATGCAAGTGGAAAATGGAACCCACCTACGGATCCTTCTTTTCCTATATCTGGAGCCTTAAGTGAGCACCAGAGACTGAAACTTGCTAACCGACAGCGTAGCAGCTCCGAAATTCTGAGCTTTGATGGTAGTATACTCAGGTGTGTTCTTACTTCATCTCATGCTCCGTATTATGCCTGTATTCATTATAGATAAAACTAATTTTCCTTTACAAAAAAGGGCCAAAACATCTGAGAACACCAAGGTCAAGGTACAGATGATGTGCTTGAAATTGCAACTGACCATATTCTATTAAACAAATCTTTATTTTGGCTCTCATAATGCACCTGTCATTTCTGCTGATTGCATTGTCACAGACAAATGACATTTTAGCTTGGCTGACACAAAAGACTTCTATAGTGTCCAAACAGGAAATTGATGCAAAACACGGCTGGCACTCTGTTTTTGAAGGAAATAATGCACATAATCACTTGTCAAAGAAGAATACAAAGTGCACTTATTTTTATTGGTAGTAATTATGGAGTAATATTTACTGCACGAGTTCCTATCGGAAAATGGAAGTGTTTAGGCAAATTGCGTAGTTTATGTTTTGACAAAATTATTCGATAAAAGTAAGATATAGAGGCAGTGTGGTATAGTGGTTGTCTGCACAAACAAAATACAGATGGATTAAGTTCACGGTTGATACTATGAATTATGGGAGAAAGTGGCTGTGTATAGATTAAGGTATAACTCAAAGGTCTAGCGAACTTGTTCGGTTGTATATGAGAGAGATCTACCACAGAAGCTCTTTACCTAGATAAATGATAGATGAAAAATGTAGAGAAAAGAGACAAGATTAGCATATGATTTTATTGGTGTAGAAGAAGCTATGGTCATGATATTATGCCCAAAAAAGTGCTACGGTGGGTGCAAAACCTAAAACAAGTTTCCATTAGCTTTTGAAATATGTAGCAATGCCAATGCATTCGCGTGATAAAATATTTTCTTTTGGCTGCAGGCTTGTATCAAGGTTTTGACTTGAGTGAGGCAAATCCAACGTGAAATTCTTTATTGTCCGTTATGTGTTGCCAACTTAGTTTTAGCTGACAGGGCTATGAGGGGATAAATTGGAAGTTAAAAACTTTGGAGTACTTTTGCATCTAAAGGTTTCAATTAAGTAGAAGTAAAATGGAATACTTGAAATGCCCTTTTAGACATAGCAGGTATTCAGGTTCAATAGTCAAACTAAAAGAATGACAACTCATGTAGTTGTGTCTTGCTAGACTTAAAGAAACTAGTGTATGCGATAGTCATGTGATCCTAGTAGAAGGGTTCGAAGACGGAGAGCTACACTAAAAACAGCATGACGTGATGGGGGTGCAGGATTTAATTGTATTGAATCTCCCCATAGATATGGTAATTAATTGAATGGAGTGACCTGAAATGACTTACAGAGATGATCTCAAATCTATAGGGAATAGCTCAGTTTGTTGTGTACATTCATGCTCGTTACTCTCTCATCATTTACAGAATAGGAAATGGAATGTTATGTGTGATGGTCATCGCAGAGGAGTTCAATTACATACCTTAGTTGCTTACAGAAATTCCATTTGAGGATTAGGGATGTTAAAAGTCTTGAATTTTTTTAATCTGTTCTCCAAAGATCGTTAATTTTGCTTTTCAGAATGTTTGTAATTTCTTTATTATCCATCAATGCTTCTGATGGATATGCTGGTTGTCTTTAATGTTACAAATGTTAGACTACTTCAAGCCTGTAAGCAAATGATGGAAGATTATGAAGTTGTTATTAATATTTTTAAAATCCTAAATATCCTGGAAATCTGCCAATGTAATTAAAAATATCATTGCTTGATTTACACATTTTAAAAGAATCAAAACAGAACAAGCTATGATTTCTGGTACTTTGATACCCTCCAAAAACTTTTAATGTTGTGACATTGCTAGTACAGATATGATTTCTTAATGACATACTTGCTAGCTAATTTTGTTATCCACCTTTGGTTTTCCATTGTTTTCAGGTCATATGCTTTGGCTCCTGTTTATGAGGATGCGACTAGGACCATTGAAGATTCCACTTCCGTAGGTACTGCAAAAGTTGAATCAGAGGAGATTGAAAGCAAAGAAGTAACTTTTCCCGGTGTAAATCTTCTTTTTGATGGATCTGAGTTGCGCCCTTTCGATATAGGTGCTTGCTTGCAGGCTCGTCAACCTGTCTCCTTGATATCTGAGGCCTCTGCAGCATCTGCTGCTTCTGCAGTCAATTAAGGCTTCAGACTTAATCTGTCAATGTTATATTATGCTTCTCCTCTCATTTTCTGGTGGAGAAGATGGTGTGCATCATGTTGTTATTCACTGCTGCTGATTCTTTGATTCTTGCCCATCTATTGGTTGATCGTTAGCATAAGATATGGTAGTTCTTTTAGTAATTTCTGAAAAAATATTATTGACCAATTTCTTATAGTTTTGGCAATTTCTCCTGCTAGAAAATTTGTCTCTAACATGTTATGTGTACAACGGTGTGTCCACTCTCATTGCTACTCACAGTCCATTGTTTTAGGATATTACAATCTGCTTTTCTTCAATTCCAACTGTATCATTTGACTTTTCGCTCTCTTTGTTTTCACTAGATAAATGGTATACTTCTTTTTGGTGATTGAGAGTAGACGTGAATGTGGGTTTTCAGTGTATCTTATGTCCGTCCTCCACTCATTCATCATTTCACATGTTCATTATGCGCACAATTGAACTATTGATTAAGATAGTGGGGATGCAGGTATTTAAAAATATCGTCTTGGTTTTTATTAGAAGAAAGGTGACGTACTGTCATTTTCTTATCTTTCTTTCTTTACTTTTTCTTTGGGGGTTGGTGGGAGGTTATGAGTTGGTGGTTTGGATTTGGACAACCGTTTTTCTCCTATTTATAATTTTATGATGCCGAATCAGAGTATGGATGAAAGCGATACAAAACTGTTGAAAAATTTATACATATAGCTGTGAAATTGGGATGGTTAACACTGAGCTGTATTTTTGGGACTAAACAGAGGAATAGTTTGGGGAAATATAATTCGTGTTGAGGGTGTATGAGATTCTGCACAACAATCTTTTATAAGGAACTCTTTCATGATTGGTACGGAATAGGTGTAATAAGTGATTGGTTTGATATAAGTAGATAATCTGACGTGATTTGCTATTAGTCAATTATAGTCAATAAGAATATTTGTCTGTCGACTTGGTGCTAGTTCAAGGGTTGTTATCAGGTTGATAAAAATTAGCTTGGTTTTGGAAATTTCGAATGTTTTGTGCATTTTCTGTTTCTGTGTTGAGAAGACGCAAACGTCTCCTTTTTTCTTTGTAACTTTTTGATGCTCAGATGTACCAACAAGATAATCACAAGATTGAATGTGGACTGTAGTATTATTGAAGGCCAGTAATAGTAGAAAAGTCCAAAAATACTGTTACATGTTATTTATTCATAAATTACTTCATATTTATTAACGCACGTATTGCCCCAAAATTAAGCATATAAAATTTTTTAATAATTTGATTACTATAAGTAAATTTGAATTCTATCTAATGAATGTCATGATAAATTAAAAGGGATAATTGCAGCAACAGTCCCTAACCTTTCAATTTTTTGCGGACTTTGCCTTAACATTCACTTTGTGCCAGCCACAATTCCAAATCTTTCAAAAATTCACACATGGGGCCAAATGGATGGAAACCATCCATCTTGCCGTTAGTTGACCAAAAAATTCAAATTTTACCCTAATCTTCACTTTGTACCGGGCACAATCCCAAACCTTTCAAAAATTCGCACATGGGGTCCAAATGGATGGAAACCATTCATCTTGCCGTTAGTTGTCCAAAAAATTCAAAATTTGATCAATTTTGACTAAATGAAAAATGGCAGAATGGTATTTTACATTTTTCTACATCAAGTAATTGAAATAATTAAATATAAACCCACATACTTTTCCACCCCACCCCACCTAACCTAATCAAAACCAGAAAATCGTCCAGCCGCCACCGCTAGATGTCTTTCCTTTCCAATTTCTCCACCGTCGTTCGATCGAGGAACCAATTTTTGACTGCTTCCCTTTCAGATTTCAAATTTTTGGTTCAATTTTGGAGAGAGCAACAACGATTGAGGCGGACAACGAGATGAATTTTTCGCACAATGCCTAAACTTCATCCATAAATTCAGTGAGTTTGGGTTGCAATTGAGCTTGACCCAAGGGTGGGCTAGGTGCGCCAGAGATAGAGGAAGGTTCCCCAGGTAGTCCGCGACCATGGGTTAGCCAGACAGAATTGGAATCGTCATTGTTCGGACTATTATGTGCGACAGTCACTACGGCATAACTTCTAAACCAAAATCGATCTGTTCTGAGGCTTTTTGGCATAAATTGTGAACATGGCTGGAGTCGTATGGCCATGGGTAACCGGTCGGTGGTGGTTCGCGATCAAGTTGGTTGTCGGAATGTGGGATTACAGCAATTTGGACAGTTTCATGCAGCGAAGTTTGAGTGCTGATTTCTTCTGATTCTGGAGTTGTAATGGATGGGTGTTTGGCGATAATTGAAGAGGGAATGGAGGGCTTTGTAATGGCACAAATATTTGGCGGTCGTAGTGGCTGGAAGTTGCCAGACGGAATGTGGAAGAAGATAATTGTGGAAGATGATATTTTTTTCAATTTCTTATTTAATTATTTAATGTGGAAAAATGTAAAACACCATTTTGCTCTTTTTCATTTGGTCAAAATTAATCAAATGTTGAATTTTTTGGTCAACTAACGGTAAGATTGATAGTTTCTATCCATTTGGACCCCAAGTGCAAATTTTTGAAAGGTTTGGGGGTGTGGCTGGCACAAAGTGAAGGTTATGGTAAAGTCTGTAAAAAGTTGAAATGTTAGGGATCGCTGCTGCAATTATCCCTAAATAAAAAGTTGTTCACAATAGGACTGTAAGCAAAAATCGCTAAACCGAAAAATTGAACCGAAACCGCATTTTAGAAACTGTCGGTTTGGTGGCACGTGGACCCATCAACGAAATGGTTTTGAACCAAACCGGTCAAAACGGTTAGATTTGAGAATTTTAATTATGATTTAAAACCAAATCGGACCGGCGAAAAAATATATAAAAATAAAAAAATAAAAATAATGATTTTTTTTTTTTTTTGAAAATTCATCCAAATATGTAAAATTCAACAGTTTTGTCATTTGTGTGTATTTTTGTCAATTTATAATTTTCTATTACATATATATTATTATTACCAAATAATCCTAATTTATATCTAATAATCTCAAGACCAACCTAAGCTATCAAAAATCCATTTCTTCTTCAGAATTCAAATTTCTACAGTTGCTTCTGAGTCTGCATTCTCAACTGGAGGTCGGATACTTGATTCCTTTAGGAGTTTATTAGGTGCAATGATGGTTGAGGTTTGTTTATGCGGAAACAATTGGTTGCAAATTAAGAATGAACCTATAGTGCTGCGCCAATATTTAGATGAAGTGGAAGTATTTGATGATTCAATGAAAGTTGTGGTAGGTGGTTTATATTTTCTATTACCATATTTTTAAATATTCTCTTATCTATCTAGTATCCAATACTAGAATGATGTAACGAATGAATTTGTTTGACAATGGAGACTACGACTCAAGTGTGACAACAATTGATGTTTGAGTATATGTGATAAACTGAGTTCGTAACAATATACAACGGTAAGCTTGTGTAATTGTTATGTTTAGATATTATAAAAAATTGATTTTTTATTATGGTTGGTTATTCTATCTATCTAATAAGTAGTTTTGTTTTTCAGATATGATGATCACGGGGTCTTGTTGAACATTATTATATTTTTTGGACTTTATATTTAGTTTAGTAGACTTGTATTGTAACGTTATCGTAACGTCTTAGCCTAAAATGGCAAACAAAAAACTATATTTTAGTTTATTGTGATTTCCCTTTGATTTAGTTGGTATTTAAATTTATAATAGATATATTTAATTTGTTTTAGATTTATTGCTAGTAAGATATAAATATATATTGAATTCAATGAACTAATGTCATAAAAGTAGACATGAAAAAAAAAAATACGGCGAAACCGGCGGTTTAAAATCGGACCAAACTGTTAGATTTAGGTTTGAGTTTTTTTCAAACCGTTCAAAATGATTTGGTTTAGGTTGGGATTTTTCTCAAACCGATTTAAACTGTTTGGTTTGAAAATTTGTCAAAAACCGATAAGCATTTACACCATATTTGTTTGCACCATAAAAAAATGAGCATCGCACAACAAGAGCTTCTCAGTTGGTTCCCCAATAGCATATTCCTTGATAGCTCTTGTCGTGTCTTACAGTTCAGGATACACCTTTGCCCTACAAAAAAGTAAATTGTATTCAGTCATTGAAAACAACTGTTGGTTCAACTCATCTGTTTAATTCATTGTAAACAAGATAACACTTCGCTATTAAAGGATACAACTAGTTATTCATGTCTTGTGATATAAGTTTCAGAATTAGGAGTTACCTTGGTACAACTTTCACATGAAGACATTTCAGTACTAAAAATCGAAGATATTTCAACCTTCGACATATGTAACCTTGTTGCAATTATCGTAACTCATTGCTAGTATAGTTGATTTAGTGCTTTAACGCACTCTGTAGCTTTGATCAAGAAGAAGAAACAATCGATGAACCGTGTCACATGTGACACTTTTGTTGACAAGCCATTTGATTTTGTTATCTTTAGCTTGACATATATTTTTGTAACTTATGATAGTTTAAGTTATGTTTTATAATTCATGCAAGTGGTGCTGCAAGTTGTCCAAATGTTCAGTCAAGTATGAAAAAGTGGAGTTAGGTAGAATAGTTGTTGGAAATCATTTTGAATTGTATCAAATGTATGGCTATATAAATCAGCCGAGTTCCACCATATTTTGTGGATGTGATTGAATACTTTCCCTCCTCCTTGTCTTCTATATTCTATCAGAGGTATCATAGCCCTAATTGATCTTTGAAGGAACGAAAAAGAGCAGAAACAATGCAAAAATAGAGTGTTTCTGCATAATCCGGTAAGGGATATTAAAATCGATAAGCTCATAGCAAATACAGTATATTATGTGCAAAATCGATATGCATTGTGCAAATCTGGTAACTTCAAATCCGGTAAGATCTGTCAAAATCGGTAAGATCTATCAAACTCGATAACTTCAAAAAAGGTAAGATCTGTTAAAACCGGTAAGAGCTTCAAATACCGGTAAGAACCTTA